CCCCCCCCCCCCCCCCCCCCCCAAATAGAGAGCTTTGTGGGTGGATATAAACCGCTGCTTAAGTATATGTAGACGATATATATATATATATATATATATATATATATATATATATATATATATATATATATATAACATTGGCCAAAAAGGTTGTCCCACCCCCATTTCCATGTACTTTTTTTGCAAATGATCGATCTCACAGCTGTAAATTGCTAGAAATAGTGCTTTTTATTACAGATTCTGTGTCTTACATGATTCTGTGCCTTACATGGTTAAAAAAATACAAAATGGTGGTGAAAATATACACATTTTATACCATTTAGTAAAATTAATAAGAGGTACCCCCTCAAATCCACTGTTTCACTGTGACTTCTACAAATGTAAACAAATGTCTATTAAATTGAAAAGACGCCATCAAATGTCACCAAATTCACACACAATTAGCATAAGGGTGTGCTCGTTGAAGGTCACGTGCATCACAGCGTGTGCATTTATCGCGTACTGCAATTATCTCCTGTAGACGGCGCGACAAGCCACAGTGAAACAGTGGATTTGAGGGGGTACCTCTTGTAAAATTTACTAAATGGTATAAAATGTGTATATTTTCACCACTATTTTGTAGTTTTTTAATCATTAATCATGTTAGACATGGTATCTGTAATAAAAAGCACTACCTCTAACAATTTACAGCTGTGAGGTGATCATTTGCAAATAAAAGTAGCCTACATGGAAATGGGGGTGGGACAACTTTTTTGACCAATGTTATATATATATATATATATATATATATATATATATATATATATATATATATATATATAATTAATAGTTATAATAATCTCTTTTAAATATAGGTATTACTTTTATCGTTATTATTTATGTATATATTAATTATGCCTATTTAATTAAATTCATTAATCATTGCTTGGCAGATGGATCATACAATAATAAAAGTTATTATAGGTTATTGAGCACAATTAGCTAGAAATTTTCTTAGTGTTAGCTTGCAGTCAACCTGGTCTTTGAAAAACATGATTTCAATAGGTGGTTCATGGGACCAGCGGTATAGACTACACATTAAAATTGTCCCACTAAAATTAACGTGTACATGTACGCTGTTATATTTCGTTTTTCTGTCGGATTTTTTAAAAATGATTTTAGCAACTAAGTTAAGCGGTGAAAACTTTCACAGGTACTGACAGCAAACGGCACCAGATAACGCTCTGAGACTAATGGCCTAAAGACCAAGTATCAATACTGTTATCCTGTCAGCTGGTGACCTTGGCTTCACCACAATTTATACTGTAAGACTTTATATTTCTTTATACCAAGAAGGTGACTAGATGTAAGGAAACGAAACCGTTCGATAAATTTCATAAAATAATTTATTGAAGTATTATTTGTTTGTACGAGAGAGAGAGAGAGAGAGAGAGAGAGAGAGAGAGAGAGAGAGACTTTATTTAACAGTAAAATTTAGGGAAATCTTGAAGTAAATATAAATTATCAGCTTGTGAACAAAGAAATAAACATGCACCCATGTTTGCTTAGATAGGTGCGTTCAACTTAAAGCTATAATGCATCCACAATAGGCCCACGAGGAGTATGTCATGCCTGCAATAAAATACACCAACATACAGTATACACAGTGTCTTACATTAAGACCAACATGTTCCTTATTCCATTTACCACACCACAATAACACACTTTCTTATATTATGACAAAACACATGGTTGTGATACACTTCACCTAAAAATAAAAAAATCAACGTGGTTTATATTATGACGAAAATAAGAGTGTTGCACACTGCATTCGAATGAATATACAATTGTTTCTGCAATAACAAATGATGTAATTGCAATCTTTTTCACCAGAGTAATGAACTGTAATCGTAACAAATTAAAGGCATGGCTGTAATTCACTACTAGTAGGCTTGTTAAGGACCAAAAAATGGCCAAACGCTGCATTTTGTAGTACAAATGTCTAACTTGGCATAAATGTTCCTTGGGCCAAAAGGAAATTTTTTATCCAAAGAGACACGCTCTATCGATGTATAAATTAGCATAAAGTATGCAAATTAGGTGCCAAAATAAATAATATTTCATATTCTCATTAATTTTGGCCTAGCAACATGTATAGATTATCAAACCTGACTAAATTAGGGACAAGGAACCCATTTTTGATCATTTGGAAGCAGTTGGTGGCCATTTTGTGCCTCAAATCCAAGATGGCCGCCACCCGCCATTTTAAAAGTGGACAAAATTTTGCTATTTTATGTTGAATTTTGAAGCGTTTGGTCTATATATACTTGATATATATATCGATTCCTACTATTTTGGGGGTGCAAACGTCATTTTTGATATTGTTTTGGTGATAGTAGGTGATTTGAAGGGACAAAGAGGGTGTTTTAAGTGCCTACCAAGATATGTGTGAACACTGCAATATTGATATTGATACATTCAAATATATCTCAATGCAATATTTTGTTATATACCATCGCTATTGGACTATATTATGAGCAAAAAATACATTTTTACCATTATGGAGGCCATTGGTGGCCGTTCTATTTCTCAATTCCAAGATGGCCGCCAAAAACCATTTTGAAATTGGGCATAATTCGCTATTTTGAAACTATATGTATTACATCTTTGTAAATGAGTAATACGTCGTTTTATATTATTTTCTGGTGCAGAATACATTATCTGTTTCATAAAATGTGAGTACAAACTATTTAAGCCGCCAAATTAATATGCATGTAGGCTTAAGTTGTCAAATAGACTTACATATGCCATGTAGTCTAATTAGTACAAAATGTTTTATAAAATCCTTAAGAGCTTGAAACAAGTGTAAGAGACCAAAATGGCTTAATTAAAGGTAAAGAACACATACTTGGTGCTTTAGAGACAATTGGTAGCCATTTTGATCCTCATATCCAAGATGGCCGCCAGACACAATTTTTGAAATACGGGTAGGGCATAACTCATTAATTTGAAGCTATTGCTCTTACACTAGCATGTTATACATCGTTTCTTATCATTTGGGTTGTAGAAGTCATGCGTCTTATCTCTTGTGAGATATAATACAAAAAGAAAATATTACAAGGCACCAACACCAATACAGGCTTACGTCTTCACCTTCGCTTGTATACGTCTTGAAGTCAAATTTGTGCAAAAATATGTTACATAACAGTTTTAAAATGGTTTTGCCAGACATAGATTAAGTGCAAGAGACCAGCATGGCTGATTCGACTTTATGGTGACTACTGTTTGCTATTCTATTGTTCATATCCAAGAGCCTGTCGCTATTCTAAAATTATGGCATAATTTCCCTTTTTTTAAGCTGTTGGACTTTTTATATGATCGTAATACATCAATTGTTACTATTTTGGAAGTACATAATTAATTTCTGGTGTTATTCTGGTGACAGAGGATAATAAAAAAGGCATAAGGTGTTTTAAGATGATTCCAAGATGAATTTTCCTGTAGTTGTCATATACTGTAGATGTTTTGTGCTTGTTCGTCCATTGGAAACAATGAGAACTATGTAGTCGCCTTATGGATTTCTATTGGTAGTGAGATGACTTGACTGGCCAAATCTTGCTAGGAATGATCACTGGCACTGTCAACTAGGAAAAAAGGCTGCTTCCTCGACTATTTTGCTTTATCCCTCTTGCCTACCTGCGCAGCTGCTGCTTTCTAGTTGGTTTTGCAGATTCCTTCTTCCTCTGATGCGACATGTTCTCATGCATTGGTGTTTCTCTGGAAACTGGATTTTAATATATTGTTTGGCTGTTTCTCATAGGACACTGACAAAACCTCAATACTTACTGGCTGTTGTCTTATTGGCCTACCAGAGCTGATCATGCATGTTTCTTTTTGCTGTGCTGCTGGATGATTTTGCAGACAAGATCTGGAGCTATTTCAAAGCAAAGTCCATTTGCTTGTCTTTCACGGGCATTTACGCATCAACACAACTAACCAAGTTTCATAGTATTATAAGACGACAAATTTTTCACCCTTCAAATCTTCTGGACTATATTTAACATGCAAATGCAAGCCCCAGTGACTGGGACATAAATGTACGTGTGGCTTTTTGGTTCCCATGGACCAGTAAAAGATGAATAATATAATGCCACTATGTATATATATTTATTGCTTACCTTTAAATTATCCAGTATCTTTTAGTGGATGGTCACTTAAGATAAATCTAGATGATATTGTTGCGAATACATAAACATAATTTTCCGGTGGAGGTATGAACTTTTATTTACACACGTCTTGACACAAACTGATGACGGTGAACTGAAATAATTGAAACAATGAAACAAATGAAAGTAACAGAATAAACAAATATAAATTTCAACATGTCGTCAATGTAAAAATTCCGCTGAACCGTCCCACGCACCAAATCAGTGACGTCATGATCCTGCACAGTGCGCCTAAGCGCAAAACAACTAGCACTACCTGCCCACTTACCTCCAAACAGGTGGACGCGCATACGATAATGCACGAGTGAGTCATTCTCCCACCATAAGAAGCGTAAAGCATTTCTGTCCTTTTCTGGGACTATGACTTGGTAGTACATACATTCAATATCCGCCATTATGGCATATCTAAATTGACGGAAACGCAAAAGTATGCCAATCAGCGTATTTGTCAAGTCGGGGCCCTGCAAACATTGGTCATTGAGACTGACTCCTTGACATTTACAGGCACAATCAAACACAATGCGCAGTTTGTCAGGTTTAGATGAGTTCGTGACACAATGGTGAGGGATATACCAAACAGATTCGTTGCGCCAATCAATTTCTTTTTCAGGGACCTCCTCGCTGAGCAATTTCCTCATGTTCTCATCATACCTGTTGAACATGTCATCCCTTCTAAGTCTACGCTCCAACCCCTTTAGGCGATGGAGAGCAACCAAGTAATTGTCAGGGAAATTAGGCACACCTTCCGTCCAGGGAATAGGGAGGACGTAATGGTCGTTTTCCTTGACAATTACTTGGTTGCTCTCCATCGCCTAAATCGTTTGCAAACAACACACCTTTTCCCAACTTTTTTTAACAATACTTCTGCAACCAACAATCCAGAATTTTCTGCGGATGTTGCTAAGAGTCCACTCGGTGCCCAAATGAGCGTCACCGTGAAATTCACGGACGATAAGATCAGAAACAACATGATCTTTCGGCAAAATCGGAGGTTGCTTGCATTCCATAAAAGAATGCACTAATCGACCGCCTACGACCAAAACGCCGTCACGCATGATTGGAGACAATTTGTAAATCGCGCTCGACTTAGAAACGCGGCCGGTCTTTAGCAAGTCTCTAATTTCGCCGGAGTATGCAGTCTTCTGGACCACTTTAATTATGCAAAGCTCCGCTTCCTTCAATTCAGTTGCTCTGATTTGACCCCTTTTCACGACTTTCGTATGCAAAAAATCACGGAATCGAAGCAGCCACGCTACTGCTTTGCACAATCTGTAGTAGCTTGAAAATTGTTGAAAAAGTCTATCCAAAATAGACTCCCGTATCGCGCCAGCATCAGCCGC